CCTTTTTCTTTTTTTTTTTTTTTTTTTTTTTTAGATGAGGTCTTACTACATAGCCTTGGCTGGCACGGTATTCAAGAAACCATCTGCCTACCCCTGACCCCCCATGTGTTGGGATTAAAGACATGAACCATCCATCGTACCTGGCTACTCTGAAGACATTTTGTTCTTTTGAGATTTTTCTAAATTTTCTCTTTGTATGGCACAAGCAACTTCCACACTGTGCTCTCAAAAGTACCCTGACATACATGCGTGGTGTTGGCCAGGTTCTTCTTCCATAAACATCAAAATGTAGACTATTATATTAGCACACCTTCTTAATTCAAGCCTAGCGAGGTCCTCACAGTTGCAATGGGGTTCATTATGTTTACCTTTAAACTCTGCCTACAAATGCTCCAGCAGATTCCCCTGAAAATCCTTTCCCCTGGACTGAGATGAATGTAAAGGCCAGAGATCAATAATCACCTCTTCTTTCCTCTGAAATAAGAGCCAGCGGCTTCCCCCTCGCTGAGTCGCTCAGCACCTCTGCGGCCAGCATGCACAGTGAGTCCCAGACATCCCTTACTCCTCCTTGCCAACAGAAAGCAGGCTTTCTTAGAGGCCAGCTGACTTAGCACCAAGGCAGAAGGAAACAGGTTGCATAGCTGTGATAGGAACCCCAATCCTGGTGCCAGTGAATGCCACAGAATGAGGGTCTGGCCAAAGAGAAAGCCTTTGGATGTAACTGAGTGTCAACTTTCCAGTAAGACAGGTAGCTATGAATAAGATCTGGGCAACACAAATTCCCCTTCGAAAACTAGTCATGTCTCTTCATCTCCAGGACATGGCATCTTCAAATACGGTACTTATCCGTTCCTACGGTCATTCAGTTTCAAACATGCGACTATTTGCAACCATCGGTTAGGGACAGACAACATACATTACGGGGAGGTCCACGGCGTCTGCCATAGTAGCCGCGCCTGTAGCGGCGCCGATCAGCAGCGTAACGGCTCCCTTCCACAGGAACTCCATCTGGCCCAGTCACATTAGCTGCTTCAGCGCCCTGGGGAAGAGAACACAGAGGGTCTCCAATCTTCCAAGAAATCAAGTAATTTCCTCCAGCAACAGACAGCTGCTGTGTTAAGAACTCCTACTGCGATTCTAAAAACACTGTTTTTACCACCTCAATGAGAGTGCCTGACCTCTGGAACTACACACCCCCTTGTCTGGTCAGCCAAGTTTAGGAGCAGTGCATGTTTTGTAGAACACGACTGACTCAACACACTTCTATGGAAGACAGCTGACATACAACGAAACCTACCACCTACCATGTGCTGAAATCTGTGGTCCCCTGAGATGACCACTGGAATCCTGATAGGTTGGCTCCAGCTGCTCTGATGAGCTAGCTCTGAGTTACTACTTAGTGGGAAACATCTCCGAGCTTCTCAGAAACAGGGAAGAAAAGGCCCTGACTTAGGAACAGACTCCACACAGCCTTCCTGTTACATTCTTAACAATGATTTAAGAGTTTTTTTTCTACCCCTAGGTGCTGGGGCGGAAGCTAAGGACAAGCATGCTAGGCACAGTGCTCTAACACTAAGCTATATCCCTAGCCGCCACACCACCAAATTCACAATCATGCATGGAAAAGCCCCACTTGCTTGAGATACAGGATATTCTAGGGACCAGGAAACTACCACCTCTCCCATCTGAGACCTCAATCACTTATTCTTTACTAAGCAACCAGGTGCAGAGGTACAGAATGATCTGGCCAGTGTGAACCCTGGCTACCAAGCCCGGGGTTTCCCAAAGTCATCCCGTATACCTGTCTGGACCCTCAATTCTGGACGGCATGAGATCAGAGACAAGAACACCTACTGGAAAGATTTGTCTCCTAGGTCCCTTAGAGCAACCTATACAAGGAATAGGTTGCGTACACTACCCAGGAGGTTGCTGTCTGCAGCCATTGCACACCAGGGTCCACCACGAGAGGAAACTGGTCGGCTTAATTGGTTGCAGTCAAAACTTGCTGGGGGGGGGGGGCGCGATAATGCTTCTGAGGCAGAGCTAATGTACAGCACCAGCTGGCCTTACAAGTTCGCAGCATTCTTCCTCTCTCAGTCTTTCTAGTGCTAGGGTCACAGGGAGGTACCGCCATGTCTGGTTTCTGTGGTGCTGGGAATTGAACCATGGGCTGCATGAATGCCTGCCAAACAAGCACTCTACCAACTGGGTTACATGCCTGGCCCAAGACAGTTTGGGGTCCAAAATATAACGTATCTTAGACTTTAATAAACTAGCATTTATTCCAGAGTTCCTTTATTAAACAAGAAAACTAAAATATATAGCCTACTGAATATTTATAGTGGCATCCAGTAAAAATATTTCTGCCTCCACTTCCTCCTATCATAAAATACTTACACAGTATTATTTCACTGAGGCTGACAAAGCCACTTATCACACAATAAAGCTATGTGCGGGCACACGCTCCCAACAGCAGCTTCTCACCTTTTCTCCTTCAACCACATCAAACTCTACAGTCTCTCCATCTCCCACACTGCGCAGATACTTGCGTGGATTGTTCTTCTTGATGGCAGTCTGTCAAGGAAAACACAGAACTCCCTTGGAGACATATTCCAACACTGCAATCTATTTATCAATTTCACGTTAGCCAAAATACTGTTTCTGTTTCTGCATTTTACTACCACTACTAATAATAAAAAAGAATTCTTCCACTACCCCAATCTCCAAACAACATTCCACACCACAGTGCACGTTTCTTTCTTGGTTTCTGGGATGCTTCAAAATGCATCCCAGTTGGTGGATTAAAGAGTAAGTCACTACTGTGCCCGCTGTCACTCAGCCAAGACTCTTACGTCAGTTACACCAAGCCAAAAGCCTCCTGAGGTTCTTTCTGTCTATGACTCCTCCTTCCACAAGGGCAAAAATGCCTACATGAGAAGCTACATACACATATAAGCACAGTTTGGGTATAGAGGTTTTATTCACAAGAGAAACTTTTAGCCTCCAAAGCTTTTTGAAACAGGGTGGCAGGCTGGAGCAATGGCTTAGTAATTACGAGCACACACTGCTCTTGCAAGGACTTGAATTGGGCTCTCACACCTACAGTATGTGGAAGATAACGACCTGTCACTCAGAGGCTCTGGCGACTCTTCTGGTCTCCAAAGGCACTGCACTCATGTACACATAACCCCCTCCAACACACACACACACACACACACACACACACAAATAAATAAAAGCTTAAATAAAAAGGAATTTGAAAGAAATGTGTGATGTGTGGCTGGAGAGTGATGCATGCCAATAATGCTAACATCTGGGAGGCAGAAGCCGTGGGATCAGGATTCCAACACTAGATTCTTTCTCAAATGGGATCAGGATTCCAACACTAGATTCTTTCTCAAACAGAGACAGGCTTAGTGGCTAATGTCTGAAACTATGGACACTTGGGAAGAGGGGGTAGGGTATTGATCTTGAGGTCAACCGAGGCAACAGGGAAGTCAAGACCAGTGTGGACACAGAGTCAGAAATTTCCACACAAAGGTAAATGAATAATAAAATGAGCGATTAAAAAAGGGATAAAATATCAATGAGATAATTATTTGTGACCACAAACACTGTAATATAACGAATAAACAAGATCATCTCAGGAACGATAACATGCAAGTGTAATCTGGTCTCAATGGGCTAGGCTATTTCAGGAATGATAACATGCAAGTGTAATCCAGTCTCATATCCACAACCCTACATTGTATCTGTGGGGTCTCAACAACAGTGGGTTCTCAACATTTCCCTCCTCACATGCCAGCTGTCAGCAGAAAACTAAGGAAGATGCCACTCTACACCAGACACTTGCACTACATTGTCTGCTTAGGAAAAGGCCCTTCCTCTTTCAAACACAGACAGAAAAGAATCCTCAACACATTTCCTCTTCCCTGGCAGGCCATCTCTAAACAGTTAAAGGACTGGGGAGTTTCTATGGAACTAGGTCAACCTTATTTTATAAAGCGATTAGACATGTATAATCCAGCCTTCCTCTATCTACTGAGTGGGAGGGAGAGAAGGGGGAAAGTGAGCCAATAGGGCAGAGACCTCACCCTCTCTCTCCAGGAGGCGGCAGCTCAGGACAGGATGTATGCACACACAACATCAACACTTAGCCATTCCAAAAACCAGCCCCTCCCTGCGGCTCATTCCCTCTTTCCTGTTAAACTGGGCAGGCCCCAACACACTGAGGTGACTCACCATACAACCTCATTGGGCTAGAATCGGGTCATTAGCTCTAGGAGGCCACCACCAGCATGGAAACCCCTTTCTCCCAGCAGTCATTGGGGGGGGGGGCTCCTCCCAAAGGCCAGATGTTAAGATCAACACTTCCTTTGCAGTCTCCTAGGGCTTATCAACCATCCACTCCAGCTATCTACATACAACAGAAATGTATCCCACAGGACAGACATAAAGGACAGAAAATACAGCTACGGTTTTTATAAGTGACTATCTCCAACTGCCAAACTCCAGCCACACTTTCTCCTCAAGACACTAAAAATGGCATGCCTCTTTCAGACTGGATACACAAAAGGAACAGCAAGAATGGATGTAACTTCTCCTAACCTACTTTATAAAGCCAACAACCTAGGATAATAAAGGCCATCTGAGGACTGAGACATATGAAGCAGAATTCCACGATGCCCATTCTCTTTCAAACAGAAGGGAACTGGAGGGGTGGTTGTCCTTGGACCTGGACACGTGCTGGAGATGTCTTACTCAACAGGAGGGAGAACTGTCTAACGAATGGGAAACTTTTTCTCATGTCTGAGACACACACATCTATCTAACTTTCTACTTCTGGGTACTGTTCACAAGACAAAGGAGTTTTATCCAACACCAGCTCAGGCAAAAGCCAGGTTGGCTCTGGCCAAGCACCAAGGAGAACCACACCATCAGGCCAGTTAAGAAGCTGACACTGGAGCAGTTGTTTTGCTAAGGACTCACAGGCTCTAAAAACCAGAAAGTGGCTTAACTAAGTATGACTTCACACAAACTTGAGAAGAAACAACCCAAGTGCTTGAAGACAGTTAATATGATGGGATAAGAAGGATTACCTGCTACTACTCTTAGAAATGTTGATCTGAACTCCCATTCAAAAAGAAAACAAAAAAAAACAAAAAAACAAAAAAAAACAAAGACCAAAGGAGTTCAGGATACTGCAATCACTTGCAGAACTCACACAGCCAATGTAAGTTATCATTGCTAGAATCCCTCTTACCTGGTGTACAAACACATCTTCTTTGGTGTCATTTCTGTTGGGAGGCAGAAAAAAAAAAAACAAACAAACAAACTCACAATTAAAGGTTCTGACCACTCAGAGAAGCTTCAAAGAACAAATGTACTGAGCTGAGATCTCAAGACCTAAAAACATCAACCTTTTAAATAGTCTGTCTTTTCAAACAGACGCCTAGAACCAATTCCCATAATCCTCATCTCTCCCAGATGTCCCTGCACTGCTCCACATTGCAACGCAGAGATCCAAGCACTGGACTCCACACAGAAACACCCCTTTGCTCTCATGTCTTTCTCAATCACATGCTATGTAATCAGAGACCTAAATTTTCCTCCCAGCAAAAGCAAGACAGTCAGTCAAAAGGACAGGGCACAGCTGTGAACTAGGCTCTCCTTACACTGAAACTTAAAACAGCCCTCCTCCCACCACCCCACCCGAACCTCCACCCCACCAAGACAGATAAGGAAGAAAATGGAGGAATTGGTTTTAAAAAGTAAGGAAAAAGAAAACCTCCAACACCCTGCAAAACATCCCCATGTCTCCCAGCAGCCTGTGGTTACCTTCATTCCCGGATGGTCACAAGGCACCATGGTTTAAACACTGGTTTCCTCACAGGACTTGGGACCAAACCAGAGCTGGGCTTACGGCCCCAGCTGAGTTACTCGCCAGTGTGTGACCTTAAGGAAAGCCGCTTAAACAGGCTCTCTCTTCTCCATCTGTGAAATTATGGAGAAGGACTAAAGTCCTTCCCATTTGACTGTAGTTTTCATCTCTGTCCTCTTCCAAATGCTAGAGTATATGAATGCTTTTAAATGTCTTCATATAATTAATGATCAACAGCAGGGATGAGGATATTTACCGGGCTTAGGAATCTCAAGATGTATACATACAGCCTATTAATAAAGCAGGACAATGGATTTGTAACCCTGTTGCTACAAGGTGGGTACAAAACACACAGACACATACCGATTTATAAATCCATATCCATTTCTGACGTTGAACCATTTGACAGTGCCAAGGACTTTGGTGGCTAAAACAGGATTAAGCAGATATGTTAGCACCTGACCTACAAAGAGATAAAGCTCATATCACTAAGGTCCTGATATCATTACACAAAGCCTAAACACCCTTGAGTGAACCATTAATGGCTTAATTCCCCCACCCCCCACCACCAAAAACATGGAGAGGAATGTGGAGTTGTGATTATCTCAGTATCTCTACCAAGACCTCAAGGGGCGGTCACGTGCCTGGAGAATTCTTCGATAATTAAAACTGAGAAAGATGTTTGAGGGAATGAGCCAGTTAAGACTGGGTTCTAAGGCAGAGGCAGCTGCATGTGCCTGTAAACCCAGGACTTGGGAGGTGAAAGCAGGAAGATCAGTAGTCTGAAGCCAATGTGGGCTAAATAAAACCATCCTTAAAAAAAAGCCCCAGGAAGCTTGGTGATAGAGCACCTAACATTCCAGAGGCAACAGGTGTGGCCCTCAGTAAACAACCACATCAACAACTAGCAAAGACCAAAAAGAAACATTCCAGTTATTCATAGACATTTCCTATATGCAAGGGGAGAGCCACAGAGGATGTGCCGATAGCTAGGCCATCTTATCATTTTCATACTTTGAAAGACAGGCAAACTTTAATAAGCAGCACAGTAGCTCCTTCTTAGTAATCAACCTACAAATATGTAAAGAGACTTGTCTGGTGGCCAAGTGAGGGCTGCTCACCAGTCCAGAGTAATACTAGAACCAATGCTGCCTCACCCCAGTTCTGTACTTACCACCCATGGCACAACAGGCCCTTTGCACACCAACAACTCTACCTGCTGCCTTCAACAGCTGAGAAGGGGACCCTGGCACTCTCTAAAGTCAACCTGATTACTGTCTCTATTCTGTCACAGGCAGGATAATTTCTCTACAATGCCTCACTTGAGGATTCATTAAGAAGAAAAAAAAATCTAAATTTTGTAGATAAACATTAAAGCATTTCAAATATGACTGCTGGAATCAACGACGAATGTCAAATTTAGTATCTCTGGGAAACAGATTGGTCTAAAACCAGGAAATCACAAGACAATCATCAAGACTCAATCAAATGGAAAGGCTGACAAGATGCACTTAAAAAGGGACCGTTCAGGAGGGAACAGTGCAGATCCAGGCTGCCTCCCTCTCGGGGAGACCATGCTGCTCTGCGTGTGACACAAGCAAGCCCAGGCTTGCACAAGCATCTTCGCTTTCTTTGAAAAGCTATTGAGCCTTTCGCTTAAAACCAACCTAATCTGAATGCAGAGCAAGGGGGGAAAAACTGACATTTCAGAAAACACCCAGAAGGGGTCAGGTTTGGACAAACAGTATGACCTCTATGTCAGGATTCTTTCTACATGCGAGGAGGACCTTGTGCTTCTTTCAAAACCTCTGGCCCTGTAGATACACTCAACAGTTCTGAAACAAACTGACAGCAGGGAAACCCTGAGTTAGCAGAGTGCGGTGGTGCACACCGGTAATGCCAGCCCTTGAGAGGTGGAGGCAGAACCATAAGGAGTTAAAAGTCCTCCTCTGTTACAAAGTGAGTGAGGTCAAGGCCAGCCCGGGCTACTTCATGAGACCAGCCTGGAAAAAAATGAAACAGAAGCACAAAACCAGAGGACACGCAGAAGGAAGGTTAAGGGGCAAAGGCAATGATAATACCACAGGGGGATGATGAGAAAGAGTCTCAAGTCTATTCCCAAGGCTGGAGGTGGGTTGTTTTTTTTTTTTTAACTTCTCAAAGTAGTTTTAAAAATACTTTTTGGCTGGGTGGTGGAGCCTTTAATCCCAGCACTTGGGAGTAAGAGGCAGGTGAGTCTCTCCAAGTTGGAGAACAACCTGGTCTACACAGTGAGATTGTCTCAAAGGAAAACAAACAAAAACTAATCCTCCAAATATTTCCAAGGACTTAATATAACCAAACAAATTCCCTCACACTTTGTATTAATACTACAAACATATCCAAGCACACAACAAGGAATTGGTGGAGTTCTCCTATCCAGTTCTTTTTACTCATGTCAACTGTTTTCTCTAAAGGACTACATGGTATAAACCAAAGTCGAGGCTCCTTTGCAAGGACCAGAATGAGAGCATCCAAGAACAGATATCCATTTCAGTCAGCACCGGGTCCAGAACATTTTGGGTATCCATGTGTCTGCTTGGCACAGGAGATGGCAGACCACACTGGACAAAGACAAACAGTGCTCAAGTGTCAGGTGGAAGGCTTGTCTTTCATTTTGAGAGTCTGTACTTTGGAGTGGTAGGATGAAAGACATCAGGCTCGTCACCAGGTATCTATCTGGCAGAAACAGAATTAACTGTTGGAAACTGCGGAAGTTAACCTTCATTTATCAGCTTCCTCCATCTCCAAAGACATTATCTACCACAAGTGCAAGGATCAAGTGAAAACCTGTAGGATTGCATCTGCCCCTCAGTAAGGTATCATTAAAGAACCTGCTTTGATTGGCAACACAGGGTTCCCATCTATCTTTCATTTTGTGTGGATGTGGTCCAAGCAGCTTCTGGTGCAATGTACCACAATGCAACACTCACAAGACTTTTTAAGGAACTTTTTAGTGCAGATGGGGGGGGGGCGCACGTAATTTGGCAGGCACTGAGTTTTCAAAGCCTTGGAAAAAAAACAAGAACCTAAGGACCGTCGAGAACGCCACATTATCCCTTCAGCTTTCTTGCTTAAATGGGGAGGAGGCTCGGAGGGCAGGCGAGCCCAGTCGGCCCCACCCAGAAACAGTGAACATTTCGGAGGCATCCCACGCCATCTGTTAACTTTCCTGTTTCAGAGAGCGAACCACATGCGCCGCGCACACCACTCTTCAGCGAGCTTATTCGCCACCCACCTGCTCGGCAAGCCCGTGGAGGGCCTCACACCCGGCGTTCCTTAAGGAAGACGAGGACACCGAAACACAGGACAAGACCAACAGCCACTGCTGCAAAACCTCTGCCCCCTAAAAATCTCCAGTCTCCACCTTCCCGTTTCCCTTCCAGTTACAAGTCCCAGGGCAAACCATGTTTTGGACGCACGTCCTGCTCCACTTCCGACCGACCAAGTTTTTCCGCAGCCGCCACACCACGTGCGTCCCCGGCGTGCGGGGAGAGTGACATGTGCAGCAATTGGTGGGCACTGGGAGGCTCTTTTGCAAGTGTGCCACGGCCAGGGGTGGGGAGGGCGCCCGCCCCAAGTTTCCCGAGGCGTTGCAACATCCCTGTGCCGGCATGTGGCGGGCAGGAGCATGGCGGCTGTCCCAAACCCACGAGGGAAGGGCGTCGGGGACAGACACCTGACTCTCCCAGGCCAGGAAAAAAAAATACAAATAAATAAATAAATAAAACCCCAAAAAAAGCAATAAAGTCTTCCCAACTCACCCCGCCCATCCCTCCCCCGAATCCCATCCCC